ACTTTATAATTTATTTCAAAATTTTTTATCAAGTAATTAAACAGTTGCCACATTATATCTGATGTTAAGAAATTACATAAAAGGTAGTGGAGTGAAATTATTAACCGTTCATAATTCTGAAAAACATAATTTAAATATGATTGGAAATCTTTTTTGTCAAGAGTCTTTGAAATTTCATTTTGTATTTGAGTGAACAGTACTTCTAGTGACAATTAAATTTATTGATGGCTGTTGTGGTATTACATTGTACCCACATTATAGGTTATTTTTATATTGTGAAAGATATTTGCTATGGGGACCTAATAGACAACTTTTTCATTCATTGACTAAAATGTTTTTTTTTTAATTTTCAGAGCTCGTATGGCAATGAACCCCAAGAGCGACTGAGTAATAGAAACATGGCCACTCTTGGTCTTCTTTCGACCGCCAATTAGACCCTTGCCAAAATGGAGGGTCTGTTTTTGGTTACGCTGGATGTATAAATATTCACACCCACGTCTGATCAGAATGAAGACTTTAAATCAGATGCCTCGTGCACATAAAGGACTCTTGAAACAACTCTTTGAAGGGTCCTCAGTTGGCATGTTGCAAGGGTAATTTTTAGTCTCTATTCAATATAACCTTATTTTTAAGAGGAAGTCAAATTTTCAGCCCTCCACCACGGTCGACCTTATTAGAGGAACTGCCTATTGTATTTAATGTTATAGATAGAAAAAAACAAAGGATATGGGATATCCACCCATAACACAAAATCAGTACATTCAAAGCAAAAAACACACAAAAAAGCAAAAGAACAGCGCTGTTAGTGCTGTTCATCATTTCAAAGTCACAGTGAGGCCTTCAACACGGAGCCAAACAAAATTCTCACCTCATTTCAAGTTTAAGAGGGCCATGGCAACGGTTTGAGCGGAATTCTTTGCAGAAAATTTCGGATAGACGTTGTAAGATGTAACAACAACAAATCGGGACCGGTCAAAAAGAAAATACTGGAAAGAAATACCCACGCTTAGGCGCAAATATCAACCTATATAAAATACATTTTGACAATTTAGGTATCAACTGAAAAGTGAAGGACTGGTGATTTTTGTAGAAAACATTTTGACTGATAATTTAGAAAAAGTACAAAAATGTATGGATGAGTTCTAAAATTGAGGGAATATATTTCTTGTTTCTCGGATATGAAGTACCTTGTTTGGTGTATCCAAAGTTCCAGTAACTAGTACGGTCTAGTGCGTAAATTACGGTATATTGATCCCCAAACCCCCCTTCTTGGAATCCTGATTTTGTTTAATATATTTTTTAAACTTTTATAAAACTCAAATGGATTATACTTTTGTCCTTATTTTACAGGTATGGGAAAATTTAGAATAAATCTTTGTAAATTCCGTTGAGCATTTGCAGCGTTCTCGGAAATGATACATGTATCTCAACCAATCAAAACGTTCATAACAATAATGACGTTTCTAAATGTAACACGGTTTCTAAACTGATCCATTCAACGAAGACTTGTAAATTCTAAATGTATACTTGAGAAATGTATTGTATACAAGAGGAAACAATTGCACGTCCTGGTACAAAAGGATTATCGTTAGACAATCGTAATAGCGTGTATTCCTAAGTCAAATTCATCCTCGTATACATTTATCATGCGATTTCAAGTCCATATTAGTTTGCAAAAGTCACTACTAGGAAAATTATGCTAGAAGTACGAAAGTTTTAAATGTTGGATACATAACAGGGTAAACATGTATAAAGTAAGCCGAATGAGACACTGTAATAAAGGATTAGGTAGTTAGTGTTGGTTTAACGACCAGTGGCAAATACTTCATGTTCATATGCATAACGAGAACACATCTAACAAATTAAGTAGGTTTTGTAGAGTAGGTCAACATGACTGAAGGACTGTCACTAGATAAAGAATGTTAAGTGTCAGAATTTTTAAAGATATCATCTCGATCTAAAATACATTTCAAAATCACAATATTGTAATATAATATAAAACTGTATTGAGTATAATAATGAGAAAATGTGGTATGATTGCCAATGAGACAGCTCAGAAGTCAATAAAAGTAGGTTGAACACTAAACGTATAATAAATCATGAATTTAGCATCACTATTGATATCGAAATTAGTTCATTATTAAATTTGATCACTAGATGATACGCGGGTGTTTTATCCAAAGAACTATACCCACCTGAAATAAATAGCTAATAAATGTTTTAATGTTTCCTGTTCGAATGATTACATTTAAACGGAAGAATAACCCCAAGACAAAGACATAAATAGTAAGAAGAAGGTACATGTTTTCACAGCCTTAAACAGACAAAATATTCCTTTACAATGTGTCGAGGCACTATACGCAATACACATAACACTATTTTGATGGTTTGATGTTAATCTGTAGAAGAAAGTATTATCTACAATAAAAGAATACTGGGCATAAAGTGAAAAATATATGGTAAAAAAATAAAGAATAACGGAAAATAGGGTAGAGAAAGATGAGGTGCTAAATTATAAAAAATAAAAATTTTCTAGACTAAAGATTAACATTAAGAAAGCTGATTTTATTGATGTTATGAATTCAAATAATATTAAAACAATTAAGCCAATCCTGTACTAATTAGATATAAGAAGATGTGGTATGAGTGCCAATGAGACAACTCTCCATCCAAGTCAAAATTTATAAAAGTAAACCATTATAGGTCACAGTACGGTCTTCAACACGGAGCCTTGGCTCACACCGAACAGTAAGCTATAAAGGGCCCCAAAAAATTACTAGTGTAAAACCATTCAAACGGGAAAACCAACGGTCTAATCTATATAAAAAACGAGAAATGTATATTTGATATCAAACATGAGAACGAATTAGAACAGTAACTTACATTTGTATTTTTAATTCACAAGTAAAATCTATGTTATGTTTTCTCTTCTAAAAAGTCGGTACCTACTAAAGGTAATATCAAACATAACATCCACGAATAAAACTTGCTTATTAATTATCATCAAAGTTAAGTTGTTAACAAAACATGTTTGCTATGGATTTTCGTGACAAAATTTTCAATTCACACTTACATTCAAATTGAAACTAATTGAAATAATATGCTATGACAGGCCTAAGCAAAACTAAAAAAAAATGTGGGATAATATCCAGCTGAATAACTATCAGCATTTTTAAATTTAAGCAACTCAGCGTGATGGTGACAATTGTAACAGGCAAACAAGACCTCTCTCTGAAAATGGGGGACCAATGTGTACAAATTTAATATTCCTTGAAAGTTGTCAAAGAGGTTTATAACTAGTCAAGCCTGATATAAAAGACACCTCTTTAAAGCGAAACCTGGTCTTGTCAGGTCACTATCTACAAGTTTCGTTTAAGGTATTTAGCCTCGAATCAAAGATCATCTCTCTTATAAGGTCAGTTTTTTCTTTTCCCGAGGGTGACTTTTATGTAAAGATTTGACTACATGCTGACTTCCTTAACGATACTGAGGTTGTATTCAAAGGAAAGGTTAAACATTTTGCCTTGTGCAACAGGCCACTAACTGTTCCCTCCAATAGTTGCTGCCAAGATTCTTGAACATGGACACAGCCAGGTAGCACTCGTCCATACGTAGCTGCGTATTCGCATTTATACATACCGCACAGCTGGCAGAGCAGACAAAACAAACACAAAAGATACAGAAGATACAGAGAAACCACCCTTGGTTAAAAAGAAAAACGATGAAAAGACAAAGAATAGTATATATGATACGGTACAAAACACAAGACTGAATAAAACCTCCCTCTTCCTCCCCATTTTTAACCGGAAATTATATCATGTGCTCCGGATAAACTCATCATCATGATCATAGATACCAGGATTAAAATTTTGTATGAGTGAGTAGATACCTTACAAAATATACTGAATAAGATTTTTTGTTGCCAAATTTTTTATCTAAACTATATAGGAATCAAAACTTTGCAATGGAATTGTCAATTTATTTAGGGTAGACATATGTGAATTTTAAACACAATTATACACTACATATGATATATATTTATTTTTAATTTGGGCTTTATTCGGTCAGATTAATTTTCTGTTGAAATTACTGATGAATGATGATGATAGTGATCAAAAAGTTAATAAATAATCATTCTAGTCGCGATGTAAAGTCAATTGTAAATTTGACACAATAAACACATCATTTTTTCAGATAAAGATTATAATAAATATCACTACTACAGATGATTTGTGATATCATGTAATTTATTTTCCATAAACATTACATGACTACAAATACACCGCTTGTTGTCTGATCTTTTCCCCGGTTTTTACCTTCTAAATATTTTTTATGAATTCCTAAGCTGAACACAGGAGTAGGTTCACGAAGAGTCAACATTTACCTTACAATTCTGTGAAATTTGAATTCAGTAACAATCATAGAAAACATCTGATGACAAAATAGGTAAAAATGTCCGAAAATTAAACTAACAAGTGCTGACAAATTAAAACAAATTAATATGTACTCTTTTGAAGAAAATCATAATTATGACTAATGTTTGTCTAAATTTAAATTGTTTTTGCTTCAAACGACATTACCCACATGCAAGGACCACCAAGATTTGTATAGGATGTGTATTTGATCCATATAAATTATTGTATAACAACTTTATTATGGTCAAAGTGTGTGGCCATTCTAATTTTAGAAGGAAATAGACCTTACAAATGCATAAAAGCAGGCAATCTGGCTAAAATTCTGTACAATATCATAATCTATAAGCTGTACAAATAGTTAAAATAAGCACCAGACAGAAAATGGCATAGTTTATCTTAATTTACATATTTAAGATCATAATTATAGGTTTTTGCATATTATGTTACAAAGTTCTTTTTTTTAAACTAAGGCCTTCGTGGTCCTAAATGAATTAACTTGTCTTTCTTTTTTTTTTCTTCTTTTTTTTTCTTTTAAAATTTATACTTTTATGTGCAACGTGAAATTTTTAAGCTAACTTGACCTACCTCCGCTGAAATAGTACATTGCATTTCCAGTTTCTACAGAAGCAGCCGTTGAATTTCCAAACATTATCGAATGCCCCGTACAAGTTTTAGTACTTTTATTGAAGAAGTAACTGACACATCTCTGGTCATTCATACAATAATTTGAACACCTCAATACAGTCGAAACATACGTTTTAGTCCATAATTTTCTCTCTTGTTCCGTTTTATCGTTGTAGGAATTTAGTCTATGGCTGGTACACTGTCTGGAATCCGAATTGGGTCTATCCAGACATTCATCAACAGCTCTTATCAGCGGAATGAAAATGAAAATGATGAAAGTTCTTGGAAAAAACTTCTTACGAAATTGCATTTCAATAACTGCAGTTAGACACTTTTACAGAATGATACTGAATTGCTTTGATACAGTTAACATTTTTAACTGTCAACGTCACAACTGAACGGTCCAGTTTACTATCCATTCATACCTTATCACGTGGGCTATAGAAATGCAGAACAAATCAACCGAATATTGATTAACAGTATATCGGATTAATTTTTAAGCTGCATCTGAACTTAAACAGACTAATTTGGCAATTATATATCATTACAGCCAATTACGGATATTTCTCGTCAACGGTTAGAAGATTCAGTTAGTGGGAAAGATCAATGAACCGGAAATAACTTCTGATAAACTTTGTTTGCATTAAATGGCAGCAAGGATGACTTCCGTACATAGCGTTTATTCTTTGGTATTTCAAAACGATAATTGGCAAATATAAGAAAGAAACTGATTTATCATCAAAATAATAGAATGTACAAAGAAAGAAAAATCATTGAAGAATTCGAAAGTAATTTGAAATTTAACACGCAAATTCAAAGCACCAAAACGACAGTTTGTCAACAAAAACACAGCTTTAAACGATTTTTAAACTACGTGCAATATAAAACTTATTATTCAGTGTATGACGATTCCTGTTCCTTGATATAATTACTTCCTAAAGATAAGTAGGTGTTTGGGTCTATTAAGGAGTATTGTTATATTTGTAGCTGTTTTTTTTCATTTCAAATACAGATTTTAAACACATTTATATTATAATTGTATAATGAAATTTACATGTTTATATATGTCTTGCAAATTAAAGTAATTATGAATAAAGACGTCAACGATTCTTTCAAAAACAAGAAAAAAACATTTAGAGGGCAACATCAATTCTTCATTCAATAAAAGGCCTTATTGCTATTTTTCCCAATCCAGGAAACTAGTTACGTAGACAATTTCCAAGTCAAGCGTTGTCGTTAAAAAAACAAAGCCCACCAGTAAAAATGAGCTGAAGGAGGGAACAAAATTAATGAAATAATGATAGTTTATAGAAAGCAATATTTCAAAGCCCATTTCATTTTGTAAAAGTCATAAACATGTTTTGTTTAAAGTGTTAACGATGGTTTGACCATGCCTCTTTTGTCAAGTTTTAAGCACAACAGAAAGCTTAAAAAACAAGGTTCCAGTTAGCTGGTGTGTGACGTCATGAAATAGTTGTGTTATTTCAGAACTTATCCGGATTGGAATAAATGTCGATAAGGTCTATTATATATATTAGTGATTATACCATATTGAAAACTCGTTTAGAAATGACTTCCGTTAACCAAATTAGATTTGAAAAAAAAATCATTTGACAAGATATCCTTTTACACTTTTGTTGAGTTGCTGTCTCATTGTCATTAACCTCAAATACTATTCAACCTCATCTATATTCAAACATGATTGTTTAATATCAATGTAATCTAGAATGCAAAATCAGCTTTCCTTTTTTATGGTCTTGGGAAAGCTGCTTCGAGATTGTCGCCTTGTTAACCTCTATTCAAATTTTTATCATAAAACCTCCCGAATCATGCCAATGGTCGGCAATTGAATGGAAAAAAAATGGACTAAAATTAATTTCAAGGTCAAAGTTCCATGTTGAACAACGGGATTTCAAAGAAATATCGGTAAAAAATGGCATCTTGACAGCTTGAGGTGGAATCAGGACAACTCGGACCATAAGCAAATCGGACTTAGCAACTCGGGCCAATATAAAGTCAACTCGGACCACCTTTAAAGACAGCTCGAAGCAGTTTGAAAGCCAACTCGAACCAGTTTGAAACACTTGTCAGACCAGTGACTCTTCGTTGTTTTTACGTTTAATATGAATTTTGTTTGTTTTTGTCAAGATTTTTTTTCTTCTCATTTTCCCCTAACTGATCGTCTTAGCTTGCTGTGACAACTTGTCAGTTTGATGCATTTCAATAAATTCTGTTACTATAAATTGATTTATGAAGGCATAACGAGTTAGAAAGATAAAACAGCAAATATCTTTCAATGCAATGAAAATATAAAGCAGATATATATTCGTCTTAACATATACGGGCCCGTGTTTCAATAAGTGATCCTAGAAATATTTCAAGATGGTTGAAATGCCTTTTTCCATCAGTCGCCAAATGGTATAATATTCGACTATCGTGTTCGTCAACTTGATTCAGTTTATAAAGTGGTTTGTCAAATTATCCTTATTTGTCAGAGGTCTCAACTATTTAAATGTTACCGTTATAATTGGAACTCATATACCATGATTCGTCAAAATCAGTTGATTTTTTTTTATCGTCATGAAAAAAATGAACTCTATGTTTCTTTGTTGAGTTTTTGTGGACTTTTGTTTGTTTTTTCGTCGTTTTTTCTTTGACAATTGTGGAGTCTTTTTTCTTGGACTTATGAATTCTAAATGCCCCTTTGCATCGTTTCCTCGTTTAAACAAAAAAAAGTAACTTAAGTTGCATTAAACATATACAAAATGTACATGCATTACATTTTAAATTCAATTAAGCATTTCAAAGTATAGACCCCCAAGCATTTTGTTTAGATATTCTTAAAGCACTCAGGTTGTCTTTTAAAGTACACGGATGTTAGATTTAATGCAAGTCAAACAATTTTTTTTAAACGATGATCTTTTTTTTAATTTTTCTTCAGAAATAAAGTAGTTAAATGTTATCAAATAAAATCAAACAGAGAACCGGTCGGAATCATACGCTTTCCCTGGGAAATAGAATCCTCTTTTATGTTATGGTTACAATCGTACCCGTCTTATCATATGAATTCTGAAATAGTTTACGTTAGTGTTTCGACTACCAAAGATGAAACATACACATGTATACCTATTTAAAGAAACATTTTACCGTCTTATTTATTTGCCTTACCATTTGATTTTTATGGGGGGGGGGGGGGGGGGGGGGGGGGAGGCTAGGATGAAATTTGAAAAAAAGGCAGGGCAGGAGTTTTGAGTTAAAGAAAAAGGCAGGATGAGCCTTTTGGCAAAAAAAAGGAAGGACGACAATTTATGTTAAAAAAAAAGTCAGGATAAACTAATAAAAAAAAAGACAAGACCTTATAGAGTGAAAAATAAAAAGGCAGGACAGAGATTAAAACTTAAAAAAAATGCAGGACAAAATTTTTCATCCTAGCACCCACCCACCCCCATAAAAATCAAATGGTAGCTCCTTTACAAGGTGGGTGGCCACAACTTCCGTTTGCAGTAGTGCTATCGATGGAAAATTTGTGCCCGATAAAGGAACCACAGGGACAGTATTTCTTATGAAACAGACATTGTCACTGCATTCACAATCAAGTTGTAACATTGAACGAAGACAGGATATGTTATGTTGAGTGCGGATTTCTGTGCCATCAGCAATATATGTTGATGAGAAATATAGGACAAGAATTACCTTTCCTGACTGAGCTGTTTTTGCTAAGTAACAAAACATGTCCGAACAGATATCCAGTATTGAGACCTTAAATAAGACAAACCCCAGAATATGCAGAGGAAGCGTAGAAAATTAAATAGACATACTACACACTATAGAGTAGAGGTTGACCATGCCATCGGAGAAGTAAAAAAAAAACACAAAGTTATGGGGACTTATTGGCGATTCATGTCTGTTGTGACCATAAGTATCTGCATTTGTGTGTCGTCGAAAAGACTTATTTTCATGATAAAAAACTTTTTTGAGAGAGAGAGAGAGAGAGTACACCTTGTTTTTCGTCAACTGTAGACCTAGTTTCCGCATATGTCTTTTAATAACAAAACAAAAATGCAGTGACAATATACACATAACATAAAGCAACTAATTAAAGGTATTTTAAGCAGGTCACACAATATTAAATCTCCAACTTTCAAAAATACATTCTACAGAGTTATCATAATACAAACGTTTTGAGACGATCGACTAAGTATTTTATTAACAAGGGTTTGTTATGTTTCAAACATTTTTCGAAAAAAACTGTAGGAGTTTTAACAACATTGTATTTGCCAGGCCCGTCCGTCATATTGTAAATTAGATAGAGACATTGATTTGGCCTTACAACAGGCCATCTACGGACACCTCAAAGAGTTGTTGCAAGGGTTCTTAAAGTGCAGAGAGCGTGGCACTCTATATTAACGAGTCATAGGATTTAACGTCCTAATGTTCTGACCGGACATGGCTAAGTACTTATACATCCCACACAGCCAAACGGACGCCCCACTTTAACAAGCGTTTTACTGCCGGTCGGAAGACCAAGAGCGACCACATTTCTTTTCCCCAGCTACCCATGGGGGTCAGTAAAACGAACTATTAGATTAATTATATATACCCTCCGTTCGAATGGGAAATTATTCGGGCTGAAAGTTAAGTGCATATCACATCTACAAATATTTATCAAAAAATCAAAAATTCCAGACACTTTTTATGGAAACTTGCTATGTAATAAGTTCAAAGGTCACTTATCGGTTACACCTACAGATGAAGCCTCAAATAAAACAAAATCATTGACATACAACAAACCTGATTTAAACAAGTAAAACTCATAGAGCATTGACGAAAACGAGTTTTTATTAGATTTGGATAACATTGGAAAAGTAGTTGTTGTCTTTTTCTCTTTTTCTCCTTTCTTTGTGTTTTAGAATGGTATTAAAATTACTACATTAAGCTTCGATTGTTCATCAATATAGCTTTTTATTTCTTGGTAAGATTGAATGTCTATGCTTCGTCTCAACGGTAGTGTTGATTCAAAGTACGCTTATTGTTTTCTTTCTTCTCACCTTTTATTGTACCTCCAAGAAGTTGAAACATTCAAAACAAATATTTTCTTATATTTGACGGAGATTATTATTTTGAACCCTACTTTCACAATAATAATGACGATGGTGTCATCATTAAAGAGAGAGAGAGACGGATAGATCGATTTCTAAACTGACAATAATCACCATTTAAAACAGTAAGGGGGGATGTTTGTTGGCTAATAATATAACGCAATTTTGAAGACATGATCGATTAAATTTCCTTGTTTTCCAAACTTTCCGTCGTCTCTAAGAAAGTCTTGATGAGGTTATTCCGGTAATGAGTTGTGCACAGGTGAAGGAAATTATATCATGTGTCTGTTTAAATACAATGCAAC